TATATATGCATACATATATACGGTATATATACGCACGGATATATACAGGTATATACAACACAGACATATACAGACCTATATACAGACATATATGGACATATACACAAGTGGGGAATATTCTGTTTGCGACTATCAGCGGAGAGATACCGTTACTGAGAAGGCATATTCCGTTTGCTGACGTCGACATACGTACTCCAAACACGCAAAAAAGAAAGGAAAAACAAAAAAATGCATGATTGTGAGGATACGGGGTTTCGAACCCCTGACCTCAGGCTTAGTCTCTTGGTCCTTCAACCATTGAGTCAAACCACTGAACCAAGCCAGTCTTGTGACAAGATTTGTAAACAAATATATACATACATATATATGAGACATATACACATAAAACCAAAACAAAACAAAAGAAACACTCATTGCTATGAGGGGCTCGAACATCTGACCTCAGGCTTAGCCTTTCAACCCTGAAACGCCGAATCAGACCACTTCACCAAGTCACTCTTGTGACAAAAATAGTCGAATAAATATATATAATACATAAATATACAATACATATACACATATATATGCAACTCTCCCGCCTCTCCTATTTTGTCTTTCTCTCTCTTCCTTCATCTTCTTCGAGCGTTATGTCTGGGGCGCGATTTCAACAATCGCAGCGCCTGATCGACAGGCTATCCAATCTTGCCCCGATTATCAATGATCGTCTCGAGCCTTCCTCACTCTTTGTCTTCTTCTTTGGCTTCACCCTCTTCTTAAGTTGAGGCCTGCGAAAGAGAGAGGCAGAGCAACAGCCTGCAAACTTTCTCTACCACCACTCTGCAACCTCTTTCTTTTGCATTACTCTTCTCTGTCATGGCCTCTTCACAAGGTTCTCTAACTCTTTTTTCAGACCTAAACGAGTCCATGATAGAGATAACCGATTCTGACTCCCCTAAACCTCAACCACGAGCTCCTCCTCCTTTCCCTGTTTTCAACTTTCCAGCGATGTCAGTTGAACAAATCATGGCGGCATAGTCTGACATCGAAGCAAACTCGCATATGCTGAGGTCATGTGTGAAGACCTTGACAGTGGTCTCCAACTTGTCCCGCCGACTGCAAAACAGGACGTGTGAAGTACATCAGTTACATGCACAACTCTCCCTCCTTCAACGTATGTACAAAGATGCTCGAGTAGAGATTAGTGCGCTGAAAAAGCAGAACAAAGAGCTGAAACGACTGACGACCTCCGTGACTCAATTCGGAGTTTCTTCGCACAACAAATTTGATGGCTGGCGAGGAATGATCTCCTTTGAAAGCTCTGCCAAGGCCGAGGCAAAGTCTTCGAAAGCTTCGAACGAGTAAAGATAAAGCGAGGCAGGTGATGGTAAAGTCAGGCAACAAAGCTGTGTGCAAATGAAGCCAATTGTAATCTTCGTCGCCGGGTTGCTGCCGGAGAAGAAAGAAGAAGAAAAAAAAAATCCCTCTCTCTCTCTCTCTCTCTTTGTTTTTTTGTTTTTGTACTTCTTTTGCTGTTGTTTCTTTTTTTCTTTTCTCTTCTTCTTGTTGTTGTTGTTTTTTTTTTTTTTTTTTTTTAATTAATTTTTCAAAAAAAAAAAAAAAAAAAAAAAAAAAACGTAAGTATTGACATAGTTCATCATACATTCCTATTACTCTAACAAACATGTGATTATCACGTTCAATAATTTCAGTCCTCATAATCTCTAGAAGATATATACCAAGATACGTACCAAAACACACTATATTATACTTCTTTCTAAACCGAACATTAAAAAGCTTAATGTTTAATCTAATTATTGAAAATTCCAAGACCAAACATAAAAATTCCAAAACATTAAAGAAATCTGAGAGAGTTCATTCATTAACCAAGTTAATGAAAATTCATTAGCTTACTGCAATTCAAGAAAGAAAGTGAGGAACTAACAAAGAATTGCAAGGGAGATAGTTCCTAACCTAAGTATCTACTTGAGAAGTAAAATTAAAGAAATCTGAGATACAATGATAAAAAGATAAACACAATTAATAAAAGCACTCCTCAACACTAAAAATGTAAGCGAACCTATTATCATGTTTGATGAGTAAGAATATGATCATTGATGATTAATGAGAATCGCAATTCATTTGACTTAGATGAAATAAAAATGATTGTTACCATGAAACTCATCTTTTCTTAACACCCATTTAAGAAAGAGAGAGAGAGAGAGAAGTGGTTAAAACCCCATCGATTATCAAAGAGAATTTTGTAAAACAATGATCGGGGTTGGACCCGCTAGTTTTATCAAGTGTTATTGTGGATGATCTCTTCTTGCAAATATCTTGTACTGTGTTTGCATATGATGACTGGATAACACTTGCATGATAATTTTTGAAGAACACTTGCGTTTGAATTGGTTCATGAATCGGATAATAATATCAACCAGACAAAATGAAAAAACTACAACTTGATAATAAAAGAAACATAATGAAAACAACTTGAACATACTAAAACAAAAGACTTGGTAATAAAACAAGACTCAAAATACAACCACAACACAAGAGGACAAAAGGACACAAGAGGACAAATCCACAACTACAATACAATGTTTGGCTCACCCACCACTAAAGGCTATCATCACTACTCCATCTAAATTCTATAAATGGTTACTCCCATAATGTTGTTTCTGGCAGAAGAGCAAGGTTTTACATTTTGCTCTCAAAATGGAGATGTTGCCCACCAATAGGCTCCAAGATTGTATAACCACTTTGGATGGCTCGGAAAATATGAACTTTCGCGGTTTCGGCCTAAATGCTCTATTTCCGTTGAGCCGCAGTTCACTTTGCTTTCCATTTCTCCATGTTGCTGTTCGGTGCTGGAATCCAATCACACACATATTTCGTTTCGATTCACAAGAGATGTGTCCGACACTCGAAGAATTTCAAGCATTGATGGAATCTCAACGTGATAAAGAAATCATGCTTCAACCCTGTTTTGGCCATGCAAAGCTTTAGGACAAATGTGTGGGCTTACCTTATACGAAGCTCGATCCTTGGCTCATAATGGGGAACTAGATATTCCATATTTGATTCGTCGGTTTTCCATCACTGGTGACAAAGACGACCTCCTTTGGCGAGGTTATCGTCAGCATGCCCTTTGCTTATGCTTACTTGCAAACTTCCTTTTTGCCCCTAGTCGCGGTGGAGTTAGCATTAAACTGATTGAAGTAGCCCAATGCCTTAAGGAGGGTAAGAGTTGTATGGGCTTAGTGTTGGCCGAGACTTTGACGGGCTTTGATGCTTTTTAACAGGGAGAGACTACTCGATTTGCAGGGAGTCCATTACTTCTCCAAGTATTGTTTCCCACCCTCCTTATTTATGATCCTTACATTCGGCATTCAATCTCTTTTTTCTTTTTCTTGTTTTTTTCTCTCAAAACCCTTTTCTTACTTTTCTCTCAACGTCCATCTCTTTATTCTTTTATCTCTCTTATTTTTTTTTATCCCTTTCCCCAGATATGGTTGATGGATAAGTTGAAAGTGGTGAATCCTTGCCCCGAGTACTCGGCCAGGACATACTTTCTTCGTCCATAGCTAGTGGAGTTCTCCTCAGAGGGAATGTGGTGTGACTGGATGCACAGCAGCTCTGTGGCTGACATTGCTTGGTGTGGCCCCTGGCTTAACTTGGCTAAGATGAGTTACAGCATGTCCCGGCAATCGAGTATACAATAGATTGGCCTTACACACTGTGCATTCTATTTTCCATTCAGGTTCAGACGCCAGTTTGGACATGATCAGATTTGTCTGGATGAAGGGATAAAGTACCCAGCTTCATTTCCCGTTCATGGTTCGTACTTGCCTTGGTACCTCAGTGCTTGGAATACGAGAGAATTCATGGCCCCTGCCCTTACTTTCAGTTTCATCCTTCCTAACGAATACTTGGTTTGGCTCGAGGATAAGGAACAGATTAGGCCGACCTCGATTACAGAAACTTCCACTGGCACGAAAAATAGACGGAGAACTGACACTTGACTCATCTATGCCCCTAGTTTATTGCTTTGTCTTTTCTTTTCAAGTTTTTATGTAAAATCAACTTTGGTTTGGAGAACGTACTTGTGATAAATTAATAAAATTAAAGTGAATATTGAAAAGTTTTCTTTTGTGTTGTAAACGGTAAAGTTTTGAGAAGAAAAACAAAAATTGAATTAAAACTTTTCAAAACATTTTTTTTGTTTTTTTTTTTTTTTTTTTCCCTCGGAAATGGTCACCACCGGATACATACAGAATTAATCCTAAGGCAGTACAGCCCTAAATCAGAAGATCATAACCACCAAATCAGAAGATCATAACCAAGTCGACAAACGGTAGAGAATGACGGATTAACTAAATCAGATGAACAGGACAGTTGGATTGAAAAATAGTGATGGCCAAACTTCGGGATGAAGTTGCCTACGTATCCCAAAGATGAGAATCAGGACTTACGTAGTTCAGAGAGGGTTCACTCGAGTATTTATTCTCTCCTTTTGCGCTCTAACTTTTGCCAAAGTTGCCCTTTCAGGTTTTCGACCTTGCGAGCTCAGTTTTTCTTTATTTAAATTTTTTTTTTTGTTTTTTTGTTTTTTTTTTTTTGTTTTTGCTCTAACTTTTGCCTAGGTCGCCCTTTCAGGTTTTCGGCCTAGCGAGCCTCTCAGGGATAATATTTCTTCAACTTGTCCATGTTGATCAGTTGAGAAAACTCCAGGCCATCGAAATCCATAAGAATAATTGCTCCTCTGGACCAGATTGACTTGATGATATAAGGGCCAGTCCAATTGGGTCTGAACTTGCCCTTAGGGTCATGGATGGGGGCTCGGTTGTCTTTGAGCACCATGTCTCCTTCCTTGAGATTTCTGGACTTGACTTTCTTGTTAAAAGCCCTCGCAATTCTACGCTGGTAACCTTGGATATGATACAATGCCTTCAACCTCCTCTCGTCAAACAACATCAATTCTTCAAATCTACTTTGTTGCCAGTCCGCCTCCGCTATCTGACACTCAACCATAATTCTTAGCGACGGTACTTCAATCTCGATTGGTAGAACAGCTTCCATCCCATAAACAAGAGAATAAGAGGTTGCTCCTGTAGATGTTCGGATTGACGTTTTGTAACCCCAAAGTGCGAATGGAAGTTTCTCCGGCCAGTCCCTGTAGGTTTCAACCATTTTCTGCAAAATTCTCTTGATGTTTTTGTTTACAGCCTCAACAGCTCCATTGGTCTGCGGCCTATATGTTGATGACTTACGGAAAGCCACGTTATATTTCTCAAGCAGGTCTATCACCTCTTTCTTGAAATGCGAGCCATTATCTAAGATGATCTCGTTGGGCACCCCATACTGACAGATGATGTTGTTCTTGATAAACTTAGCCACATGCGACGCCTTTAGAACGGCATGGGATTGGGCCTCCACCCACTTTGTGAAGTAGTCAATTGCTACCAAAATGAACTCATGCCCGTTTGACCCCTTGGCGTGACTGCACCGATAACGTCAATTCCCCAGACTAAGAAAGGCCATGATGAAGTCATATTGTAGAGTTTCGACGGCGAAATGTTCATGTGATTGGCATGGATCTGACATTTGTGGCATCGCCGTACAAAGCTAATACAGTCCTCTTCCATGGTTGACCAGTAGTAGCCTTGTCTAAGGATTTTCCAAGCTAGCATCACACTATTCATGTGTGCTCCACACTCTCCTCCGTGGATAGCTTTCATTAGGCGCCTTGATTCTCCTTCCTCAACACACAACTTATGCATTCCCAGATGGCCTCTTTTGTATAACTTGTTTCCTCAGATGATGAATTGGATGGCCAGACGCCGTATTCCCCTTTTGTCCTTCGCATTTGCCCCTGGTGGGTACGCCTCTTTGTCCAGGAAATTCCAGATGTCATAATACCAAGGGTTTGTGTCTTGAACCTCATCTATCACGGCGATGGTCTCATATGCCGGCGTATACTTCTGTTCAATGATGATCGAGCGCATCTTCACTCCAAGTGAAATGTCCACCATGGAGGATAAAGTTGCCAACGCATCAGCAAATCGGTTGTTCTCTCTGAGCAAATGCGTGAATGTCAATTTCTCAAACCTTGGAATTAACATATCCAGGGCCTGATGATAAACCTTCATTTTCTCTTCCTTAACCCGCCAATCTCTGTTAGCTTGAGACACAACCAAATTCGAATCTCTGATAACATCCAATCTTATTGCCCTAGTTCTAGGGCAGCTTCCAAATCAGCAATACACGCATCATATTCTATTTCATTGTTGGATACTTTAAACCGGAGTTTGAAGGCTAGAGGTATGTGTGAATCATCAGGTGCTATGAGCAACACACCGATCTCATAGCCATACTGATTAGACGCTCTGTCAAAGTACATTGTCCATGGTTCCTCTTCTATCTGCAGGATGTCTTCATCTGGGAATAGATACTCCACTGCTTCATCATCTCCTTCTATTGGGTGATTCGCCAGAAATTCCACTACAGCTCTCCCTTTTGACTGATTTGCATGTAACATACTTGAGGTCAAACTCAGAGAGAAGAAGCAACCAACAAGCTAACTTATTCATAAGTGCTGGTTTCTCAAAGAGATATTTGATGGGATCTAAGCTCGAAACCAGAATTATCAAATGAGCTAACAGGTAGTGTCTCAACTTCCTCGTTGCCCAAACCAAAGCTAAGGAAGCTTTCTCGAGAAGAGTGTAGCGAGTTTCATATTCTAGCATCTTTTTACTTAGATAATAGATAGCCTTCTCCACCTTCGCTTCTGATTCTTGCGCTAGCATGCACCCCATGGTTGGATTTATTACTGATAAATACAAGATCAGTGGTTTCCCCGGTTCTGGTGGTGACAATACAGGAGGATTCTGAAGGTACTGCTTAACCTGCTCAAAGGCGAATTGACACCGATCATCCCATTGGAATTTCTTTCCTTTCTTCAACAGACCAAACAGTGGTTCACAAGTCAAGGTTAATTTTGAGATAAACCATTTTATGAATTGCATCTTACCCAGAAAGCCGCACACCTCCTTTTCAATCCTTAGTGGTGGCATTTCTACGATGGCCTTTATTTTGGAGGGATCTACTTCAATTCCCCTTTGTGTAATTAGAAATCCCAATATTTTTCTTGTAGTGACCCCAAAGGTGCTTTTCTGTGGGTTTAACCTCAGTCTATACTCCTTGATCCGCTCAAAGAATTTTTTCAGTGCAGTGTAGTGACCTTCTCGCTCTTTAAACTTGACGATCATATCGTCCACATACACCTCAACCTCCTTGTGAATCATGTCATGCAAAATGGTAGTTGCAGCCCGCTGATATGTGGCCCATGTATTTTTCAGTCCAAAAGGCATAACTCTATAACAATAGGTACCCCACGGCGTGGTGAAAGTAATTTTCTCTCTATCCTCCAGTGTCATCGAAATCTGATTAAACCCAGAAAACCCATCCATGAATGAAAGCAAAGCATGGCCAGCTGTGAAGTCTATCAATTCATCGATGTGTGGCAATGGAAAATCATCTTTCAGACTTGCTCTATTTAGATCCCGGAAGTCGACGCAGACCCTAATTCTGCCGTCCTTCTTTGGAACCGGAACGATATTAGCCAACCAAGTCGAGTATTCAGATACCACCAAGAAACCTGCATTAATCTGTTTGCTGACCTCCTCTTTGATCTTTAATGCCCAATCTGGGCGAACTCTGCGCAGTTTCTGTTTGACTGGTCGGGCCACGGGATTAAAAGGAATCCAGTGCTGTACAATCTCAGGATCTATTCCAGGCATGTCTTCGTAGGACCACGTGAAAACATCTTTGAAATCTTTTAATAAAGCGATTAAACGCTCGTGTTCCTCTGAAGACAACGTGGATCCGATCTAGACCAAATGGAGATCCTCCTCAGTACCCATATTAATTGCAGTGATTTCATCTGTGTAGGGCTTAATGCGCCTCTCCTCCTCTTGGTCAACCAAATTTTTCAAAGCCCGAGGAATTTCTTCCTCTTCGTTTAAGTCAAAATTTTGAAAATCGAGATCAGTGCAACAAACTAAAGGCACAGAGAAGTAAGCAAACTCTACGACATTCCCATTAGTAAAGTTTAGATCCTCGGTTACAGTTGACTCAAAAGAAAAACTAAAAGAAGACTTTGACAGGACTTTAGCATCCGGGTTACCACTCCCGGAAATACCAGACTTAGAAGAACTCAAATCTGACTCCGACTCAACAGACTAAATAGAATCAAATTTGCACTTATTATCCGATTCAGAACTGCTGATGATGCCCTTTTCAAATTTCCAGATTAGGTGTGGAGCCTCAGATGCATCCACAATAAGTTTAGAGAAATCCGCTTCTGGTTTATCCCCGATCATTGAGATAGTAAAACTATCCCCCAAGTTGTCAGACTCAGTTCCGACAGTAGAATTTGCTAGTAGGTCAGTCAGCGTTTTTCCCATCAGCTCTTCTTCTTCAACGTTCACAGTTACAGTCCTGCCTTGACCTGTATTAGTACTCAGGTCCAGCTGCCCTTCTTCCTCTTCCGGTAACTGGTGGCCGAAGAAGATCTCGAACCCGGGATAGATTGTCTTCGTCTCCTGGTCAAACCAAGGCTCTGGAAATCCACAAAAGGGAAAATCTTCCCCTTGGCGAACAAAGCGTCCGTTCAAGGTTCCCCGTATTGGTTTGTGAACTAACTCATATTGTTTTCCATCTTTCTTTGCTTTAATTCTTCCTCTCAACTCAGCCCACTCCCTTTGCCAATCCTCAGCAATAGGTTTGTATCCCAGCCCAAAAGTGTGGGGGTTGTGAATCAGCTCCTTGGTAACAGTGCCTCATTGCCTGCCGCTTCTGCCTAGTCCTGATCCAGGCATATGCCCCTGTTTGTTCATCATGTAGATGGACTGAGCACTCACATAGATTTCGTCAGCTTCTGCCATGATAGATTGGACTACCCGGGCTTCTGTTAGTGAGAAGCCTAAGAGGAATACATCTTCTTCCCCGTGTATGATTTCCAACACTGGTGTGGTAGTTCCCCGAGGAGAGTGGATCGATGAATTACCATACACCGTAACAGTCCCACCTTTGAAGGGGTATTTCACCAACTGATGGACTGTTGATGACACAACTTTTATCTGATGCAACCAAGGCCTTCCTAACAGTAGATTGAAGGTAGCCGGAACATCCATTACATCGAATTCTACCTCATGTTCGGACGGGCCGATCAGGATATGGCTCTTGAATGTTCCTATGACATCCCGACTTGTATTGTCATAAGCTCGGACGGCTTGAGTTGTGGGTGTGAAGTCAACAGGCCTCAAACCGATGGCATAAACAATCCGTGCCGGACGCACATTGATCGTCGATCCAGTATCTACTAACACTACCGGAATCCATTTTTTTCGGCTCTCCAGAGTTACATACAAAGGCCGGTTGTGGTTGGTACCCTCAGGTGCCAGCTCTTTATCCGTGAAAGACATCACCGGCGTAACATCACCGGATGTGACTAACGACACCAGTTGATCAGCGGTAGTGTCGATAGGCAGTTTGGTGTGATTCATTGCCTCTAGCAATGCTTGCCTATGTTCCCGGGAAGTCATTACCAATCCCCAGATTGAGATATCTGCCTGAATCTTCTTGAGTTGTTTCAAAACCAAGTTGTCTTCATAGTCATTCTCTCTGGTGTTATCAACCTCTTTGTTAGAGGATTTTGGTTGATCTACAGCCACAGGTTTGAAGTATCGACCACTCCGGGTCATGTGATTGATTTGGTCCGTATACCACGTATCTTCGGGGGTATTGGATTTCCACCCTTCGTCTGTGTATGCATGACTCAGATCATTATCTTCCTACCACTCTCCGGTAGCCATGGCCAAGCTTTTATCAGACTTTACTTGGAGCATGTTCACATCACGCCCCTCAGTAACATAACTTTCCTTCCCCACTATGGTTTTGGTTTCTGGCAAGACCTCTCGTGCTGGAATTGTTCCAGCACTTGTTCTGTACTAGTAATGGACGTGGTCTCGGCTTTTTCCTTCTTAACCCCTTTTGTCTGTTCCACCTCATCTAGCTCTTCGTCACCAAACCAACCGTTGTTTGTTTCCGGCTGATTTGAATCCAACTAGCCTATCTGGACACTACTTATTTCCTCTTTTTCAAAGAAGTAAAGGTTGGCTATGTCTTTTTCTATCTGAACTAGATCCTTTTCCAGTTTGGCCAAGTCATTTCGGCCTTGTTCAGGCCAATCGTTCTGATGTTGTCCTAATTGGCCTTCCCCGATAGCATTGACAATGAGCACATCCGGCAATAGGACCACTGGTTTTGGTTGATCAATGGCCACAATGTATAAACTAGGATCATATTCCTCTGCAAGTGAGGCCCCCTTTTCTATGCCACAGGTATTAGACAGCCCAATCTTTGGTGTATTCTTCCCTTTCTCTGTTCTTGCTGCCACATGCTTGGGTTGGATTTATAGGGATAAGTCTATCATGCACATGTTCGTGCTTTCTGGAATAACCACCTCCAGTTTCGGTAGGTGGGACGAGGTAATATATGTGCTGGGGTTGAAGGTAGGTGGTAGTGTTTGGATGTGATTAATATTTCTGGGGAAAGGAACTTGGTTGTGTGTAGGAAGTGGGTTGGTTGCCACATTTGGTTTAGGAGGGGCGATGACTTTGTTGTCAATGAGATTCTGAATCTCATGACGTAGACGAAAGCATGAATCTGTATGATGGCCATGTTGTTGGTGGAAAGTACAATATTGGGTTGGGTTGTGTTTAGCTGGCAATGGTTCTGGGAGAGGGTGAGGATCAAGAGGCTTGAGATGCCCCTTGTCCATCAACACCTTGAGGGTGCGGGTTGGACTCATAAGGAGGGGGGTAAAAGACCTTTGGTTCCAAGGTTGACTATTTTGTGTGGTTTGTGAGTTTGTGGCAGCAGCAAAGGGATCGACCATCTTGGCCGATGATGTAGCAATGGTACTGACATCTACAGGCCACGAAATAGTGCTAGTACTAGCATTAGTACTCCGAGTGAATGCCTTTTTTGCAAGTTCACTTGTTCTGTGGATGATGCCTTTTTTGAAGGCGCTCTCAATTTGAACCCCTAACTCATGTAAGGAAGCAAATGTGGACAACAGTACCACTATCATTCTCTGCAACATGTCTGGCTCAAGGTTTTGGACCACTAACCTGACTTGTTCTCTTTCAAAAGGTCTGCTTGTCATTCTGGCTGCCTTTGCCCTCCATCTTGCCACAAAGTTAATGAAGGGTTCTTTAGGGTTCTGAGTGGTTGCTTCCAGCACACTGATTGTTACTTCTATCTGAGTATTGTATGAGTATTGGTTAACAAACCCCTTAGACAATTCTTCCCAATTTCGCTTCATTGAGTCCTCTAGTTTGGCGTACCAGATGGCCACTACATCTGACAAGGTCCTTCCAAATAATGAGAGTTTTTGTGTCCTAGATAAACCCATGGGCCTCAACACATCTGAAAATAGGCGGACATGCACAATCGGATCCCCGCTCCCATCAA